CTGGTTGAATGGACATGGGAAATCCGAGGTGGAAAGGAGTAGTATGGAAAGGAGGGTCACATAACAATGTGCATATAAATTTTTGTATGAGAAACTAACTTGAACTGTAAACTTCCACTTAAAGCACTACACACACACACACACACACACACACAAAAGGAGCGTGCCATGATGAGGAAGAACTAATTTCTGAGAAGTTGTGTCTACATGGTAGCAAGTGTGTCAGGAAACAGGCAGATGGCAGGCTGGATTTCGTTCCTTGCATCTCTGTGTTTTGGAGTCATTCCTGGGTCTGGAGCTGGAATCAGCAAAGACATCACTTTCTCAAAGAGATTATCAGGAGAGCAGAACACGAATTTGTGGCCAGCCCAGCAGAATCCTCTCCCCGCAGCCTCCATCTGTTTTGGGGAGGAGGGGCATGGGAAACAATGGTGGAGGTGACTTACCCGAGCCATGTTACAGATGCGGAATATTCTGTGGATGATGTCCTCATCAATGTCTGCAGAGACGAACTCCACTTGGATAGGCCCGTAGCACCCGGAGGTCTTCTCAGGCCAGTACTGCATGCAGAGCTGGGACAAGAAATGAGGTCACAGGAAGAGGCCAAGGAAAGGGGAGACATCTATCTCATTTGTCACTGAGACTTTCTGATTGCCAGCAGGACACATTGGCTAGAAAGGCAGAGTGTTACATAGGAGTTCAGACTCAGCTCCCCACTTGAGGGGCATCTACCCATTTTTTTGGTTGTTGCAAAGCCATGGCTCTGGAAAGAAAAAGTTTTGCTATGCTGACTTCAAACCATGTGCTAAGCTTGCTGTGCCTCAATTTCCTTATCTGTAAAATGGGGAGAATAATATCTACTTTGAAGGGCTGTTGTCAGGATTAAATAGAACACTCTGAGGGGAGGGCAAGTATAATTTATTTTTCTTTTCACCAACAAGAACCATGGCAAACTTTCCCCACTTCAGGCAAACCTTCACAATGTTCATTTCATGATCAGGTCATGAGTAGTTGTTTTTTGTTTGTTTTAAAGTAGGCTTTGGCATCAAACAAACTTAGGTCCGAAGCCAGGCTCTGCTACTTGGTAGCTGTGTGACCCAGGGCTCAGTTATCGCATATGTAGAGCTGGGATAATTATGCTTACCTTGGACCAAGAGGTAATGAAGCATGGTATTGAGAAAATTTGCCTGCTATTTTTCCAGAATTGGGAATTAGAACCTACAGCTGAGAGCAAAAGGCAATGGTTGGCCCTGAGCCTAACACCGTGGTTCTCAACCAGAGGCTGTTTTGTCCCTCAAGGGACATATGACAATGTCTGGAGTCCAGTTTTAATTTTCACAGTGGGG